AATTATGAAGTAGAAAGTAGCAAAAGTAGTACTTCATCATCTTCTTTTATTTATTTGTTTGTTTGGGTAGAAATTGGATATAATATTTAAGATCATCTGCCCTTAGTAAATCTCTAATTTAAATGGACCTCACTTTTTATCCACTTTCCCTCTACTTCTGAGCTTTCAAGGGCGGAAAAAAATCTAGGAAGTAGGAGTGCCACATAGACGCCACATCCGCATTTATGAAAGTAGCTGAAGTACTATTTTCGGAGAAACAAATATAATTTTTTGCTTGAAGTAGGAGAAGCTTTTTCTACTTCAGTTACTTCTTTGCTACTTTCGTGCAAACAAACATGCCCTTAGGAAGACCTCTTTCTTCTTCCAAGTCTTGGGCCACCTAGAGGGCTTTGCTGGAACTCTTCATATTTAGTCTCCAGCTAATATAAGTATATGTAACCATCATCATCAATAATATCAAGTCTTCTTTTATACTTATCAAGAGCGTATATTTTAAAAATTCTAAGTTTTCATAGGCTATAACTCATGATTTTTTTGTTATTTTTGTCAAAACGGTAGTTTAGCGCTCAAACTTTAAAATTTATAATTTTAATGGTCTATAACACACAATTTTTCCATATTTTTGTCCATCTCGACCCAGTTATAACTAACTGTGCGTGATTTAAAACTATCGATTTTCATTGGCTATATGACCCATGATTTTGATCATTTTTGTCTATCTCAACTCAACAACAATTAGGAGCGCGGATATTAAAATTCACAATTGGCATAAGTTTTAACCTACAATTTTTTCTTTTTATCTGCTTTGACCCAATAGCAATTAGATGAGTATAATTCATAATTCTCAATTACTATAAACTATAACCCACAATTTTTTTGTTATTTTTACACATCATGAAAACTTCAAAATTCGCAATGTTCACGGGGCTATAACTCACGGATTTTTTATTTTTATCTGTTTTGATCAAATGACAATTGTAATTGAGAATTCTCAACTTTCATCGGCTGTAACTCGAAACTGTTTGTCGTTTTTTACCCCTATAGCATTTAGGCACGCTAACTTCAAAATTCAAAATTTTCATGTAATAAACTATGATTTTTCCATTTTTTTCTGCTTCACTATAACGTGCTTCACTCTAACGACAATTAAGAGCACATATTTCAAAATTCTTGGCAATTAAGAGCACATATTCCAAAATTCTTGATTTCATGCGTTTTTTCAGCCATCATACACGACTTTCAAGTATCATACATTATTTGAGAAGGAATCTAAAGGAGGATGCATAAAAAAAAAACGGTTTTTCTATAGAGTGCCCTTGGGCACTCTATAAGAGAGGAGAGAGATAAAGAGAAATGAATGAGGAGGGGGGCCCCCTGATTTGCATTGGGATCCTCTCTTCATTCATTTCTCTCTATCTCTCTCCTCTCTTATAGAGTGCCCAAGGGCACTCTATAGAAAAACCGAAAAAAAAAAGATCCCTAAGCCTATTTACTTCAATCATTGAAATCTTACTTCAAGGTCTGATCTAAGGGCCTGTTTGGTTCAATAGACGTTAAGAATAGGATTAGGAATCCTATTTTATTTATGGATTCCAACCTAATCCATAAAAAATTTATAGACAATTTTTTGTTTTATGGAATCCCATTTTTTTTGCATTCTATGTTTGTTTCACCCAAAGGATTAGGAATCTCACTTTTATAGAAACCCTCCAATTCCTAATACCATGTTTGGTTCAGAATAGAATATCTGTAATGAATAACTATACATTTAAAGATGACTTTTCTCTCTACAACAAGCATTACATCCTTAAATTAACAATAATATGAATGGCGCGTAAATAGAAGAAACAAAAACTAAAGTTTATCTTCAGCCATAATATGAATTACCAACCTTTCAGTTATATGTAACTCTGAAATTTGTAATTTATATTCAAAAGGGCAAACCGAAGCTCACAGAGCTAAACACTTACAAACTTATACGAGAAATCTAGCAATCTAGAGACAGAGAGAATCAAAATTACTAATCTTTATATACAAAATTTGCCACTTTCCTGATTCTTATATATTCTCAAACACATCCAGACTCCAAAATCTACTGAAACCAAGTCCAAGAATCTCTCAAAATAGAGTAACCACGAAATTCAGTACCTGCTCCTCTCCCATGAGTTCCTGTAGCCTCTCCAGCAGAGCTTTCCCGTGCCTCCCTCCACTCTTCGAGTTCACGAACACTACGATCGGAGCCTCCGGCGACTCCTGGCCGAGCTCCTCCACGACCCCAGCCTTGCTCGCCGTCGCCGACGTCGTCTGCTCCATCACCGCCTCCTTCATTGCCCTCCTTAAGTACTCCGGTATCGTGATCCGCCGCCTCAGCTCCTCCTTGTCGATCTTAGCTCCGGCGATCACTCCGCACGCTCGCACCGAGTCCACGATCGATGATCTCGCCGCCACCGAATAAGAAAGAGGAAAGGGAGAGAACAGGGGAATGTCAGCTTTTTGCCCCAATTCCTCTCAAACGGAGAGGATTTGGGTTTCCATAAAAATCCACTGTTTTGACCACTTTATGGATTTGGTAATCTATAAAAAAAGTTTGAACCAAACTCAAGAATAGAATTCATTTGGAATTCTTTAATTACGAAAATGCCACTGTCAGAGCCCAAATACTAATCCTATTCTATAAAAGGGTGAAACAAACAGCCCCTAAGTATAACTACTTAAAGAAAAGCTTATTAGAAGACCCAGAAGGGGCAATATATATCACCAGTAGTACCACCAAAGAATTTATCGCTGAGCCTACCATAAGAATCCTAATCTTTCATTCAGTTCTATTATCAGCCATCTCTTGCGTTAAACAAACTTTTATCATATTCTTCTTAATTGTTTTCAATCAAGTTTTTTTAAGGTCCATCTCTGATTCTATATGTCTCATTAACTATAATTTTATCAGTTCTCTTCCATTTTATCATTAATAGATGCAACCTTTATATTCCATGAATAAACTCAATTTTTTTATTATCCTAACATCAATCCACTCAACTAGCGCCTTAATACCATAATGGATATGTCTAGCTCAAACAGGACATCGTGCCGGACATCCTGCAGCCTCAACTCATCCCTTTGTTGGCACCCTAAATACTCCATATATAGTAACCCCCCAAAATACTCCCTCAAAATCAACAATATTGCATCACAACCGCTCTCTCTCCCCCCCCAAAATACTCCCTCAAAATCAACAATATTGCGTCACAACCTCTCTCTCTCTCTCTCTGTCAGCGAGAACAAGGAGCAGAATTCAATGCAAACTTACCAAACTCAATTCATCAAATATGGAGTTTACTGCAGTCTTCTCCCTCCTTTCCAGCTTTTTAGCCCCTTCATCTGCACAAAAAACTCAATTCAAACCTCATCATGTAACTGAAAAAGTCAAAAGGCTCACCAACTATTGCCTATATAACTCCTAGTCCTAGCAGAAACAAGATAGAAGCACAAACAGTGAGAGTGAGGAAAAGATGGGCAGGCTTCAGTTTGAAGCTGTTATCTTGTTTCTTGCAGCAGCACTGCTGGGACTGCACTCGTGTCCGTCAGCAGCCCGCTCGCCGAACTACAGCAGTATTATCCAGCCACCAACTCAATATGGAGCTCCACCCCTCAACCGATAACCCGGCTCCCACGGTGCATACTCACCACCAGCACCGCATGTATGCGCCACCACGTCGGCACCGACCTCCAGCATGTTTTGGCCGCCTCGGTCGCCTCAGTATCCACCACCATCGCCCCAGTATGGACAACCACCTCCTCCTTACCACCACCGCCACCATCACACCGATACTCACCTCCATCGCCACCAACTCACAAATACTCACCACCACCGCCGTCTCCATGGTACTCACGCGCGCGCCACCGTCACCTAATATTCACCACCTCCGCATTTCCACAATACTCGCCCCACCCCCACCATCGCCTCAATATTCGCCACCTCGCCGTCGCCGCAGTATTCGCCCCCACCTCCACCGTCTCCTCAATATTCACCACTCCACCATCACCGCCAGTACTCGCCTCACCACCACCACTACTCAATATTCACCACCACCACCATCGCCACAATACTCACCACCACCGCCACCATCTCCACATATACACCACCTCCACTATCCACAATACTCGCCACCTCCACCACCACAATACTCGCACCTCCACCACCACAATACTCACGCGCCCCCACAATACTCACCGCCTCCCCACCACAATACTCACCCCCACCACATCAACCACCGCCACAGTATGGACAACCACCTCTCCACACTCACCACCTCCACCTACGGCAGCCACCACCACCCACCACGTAACGCCACCCCACACAGGCACAACCACCACCACGACACAGGCATTCCATCCGCCTTCTAACGGAAGGCACCACCACCACCGCATCATGGGCATCCGCACCCACGCCTTCTCACAAACACCTCCACATCACGGGTAATCCACCTCAAGAAGGCAATCCACACACCACATCGAATTGCCATCACCGCCACATGCACCATTCATTGCCATCACCACCACCACAATATGGGCAGCCAATCACCATCCACCCAAGCCATGTCACTCCACCGCCCATCATAAGATCCCGCCACCTCGACACCATCAACCATCACCACCACCGCTCCAGCCTTCGCCACCTTATTAGCAACCTCCACTACCACCATATCTATAAACGCTGGCAGCTTCATAGAATCGTTTACTAAGTGTTACCTACTACTATTAGCTCTTCTACTATATTTCATGGAATTGTCTAGTTCTCTTTGTGTAGAGTTTGTGTTATGTCCCTGTGAACAGTCATGTATGTCATAGAAGAATGCATGCAATAATAGTTCTATCTCCTACTTATATAAACCAGAGCAGATGATGACACTACAGGCATATACTTGATAAATAATATAGGTAATCGAAATTTTCCACCACTGGGTTAATACAAACCAGCATGATGCACCAATTTTGGAGCCACATCCAATAAACAGTCAAGTATATTTTCTGATTGCTCAGTAACATAGAACAGTTGATAACAAAAGGCAGCTTCCTCATTGGTTTGCAGGCTGATTAGAATAATAACTAGTTATTCAGCCAGCAGTATAAATTGAAGCAATACTTTTTAATCAGTACAATTACTCTAGCTACAAGTCTATGGGGAAGGCGCACATTCAAACATTCTGTTCATTTCTAAGGACTAGTTCGAAAGGACCAGCAAACATTCTTCATAACAATAAGATGCGGATTAACTGTTTAATGGTAGATAACAGCTTTCCAAGTGAAGGAAATGCATTACTCTTTGTGATTAATTGAGAAACCCCTGCAATATCCTGGCATGAGAATGAAACAGATGCAGGAATAGGTGAAATGGTATCAGCTTGTACTGCATCATAGCTTGAAAGCTTTGTAGGTAAGCACTTATGCATGCTGCAAGGATTGAATATGCGGAGCTCTAGTCTTGTATGACTGCAATACAACATATTGATCATAAGCGAGTAAGTAAATAGCTCATGAATCAGAATTATTATATTTAAATACATAGCGAAAGTAAATACTAGAAGAGGAGAACATTATATCAATAGAGAAAAAGGTGCTACATTGTATTTAAAAGTATTAATACTATTGCCAAGTGGAAAATGAAGTTAGCACAAACTATGGTAGCAATAAATAAATTGATAATAACAGAATTGCCCTGTAAAAAATTGCCATGAAATTTATACCATTATTGAACGCCACTGCACCTAGCCCAATCAACGAACTGCATTCCACCATAAACATTGTTGGCAAAACGGACACCAACAGTAAAAGCCATTGCAACAGGAGGAGCACGCCTGGCCATAGGAGATGCCTCAACTAGGCGTTCCAGGCCATTAATTATCTGATACCGAGTATTTGAAGAGACAGCAAGAAAAACACCTGCAGATAGGAAGCACCCTTGTTTGAGCTTGAGTATTTTCTTTTGCTGGAAGCATCATTACACCATAGAATGTATCAAACAGCTAATCATAGGTATTTATTGATGATAGAACATTTGACTAAACAACACAATGAATGGTCAAAATCTGTACATCTGTCAATTTGAACATTATCATTGATAGACTTCACCGATCAAGAAAGAATAAAGAGTAAGTAATGCAACCACTTCAAAATGTAGTAATGCAACATTATCAGCAGTTCCTACCTAAAGATCATTGCTGAGTTTCCAACAGTCTTCATTTATATGTAGAAATATCTATCATTTTCAAAGTGGCCATTGTCACAAGAACTCAGTAGCACGATCACTTCCTCAGGTACAATGGTATATTCTGGTTTAGATACACTCCAATAGGTAATTTTGAAGTGTACTAAAGAGGTTTAAAAAAAAAAGACAACTTCCAAAACACCATCTTACCTTCAAATTTTAGTTCTCTTGAAGTAAAGAGGTTCATTTTCTTTTGGTGCATCCAACACTTTCTTTTTGAAGAAAGTTGGCAGTTAAAACCCTAAATTCCTATGTGGTTCAAAATGATTTTTTTTAACTCGTTTGCTATAGAATCTAAATTCATCTGCTGATGTCGAAGAAAAAAATGTACAAAGGACAATCATGAGTTGCAATTAGAAAGTGCGGTTGGTGCAAAGCTCATCAAATAATGTTAGAAATGAATACACAATTTTCAAACTAAATATGCAAAAATGTGGTGATAAGCATACCCCAAAGAGTAGCACTTTTTAGTAAAGGTGGAATAGGTACATCTTCTTCTGATTTCTTGACAGTCCTGAACATAATACCAAAGCAAATTAAACAGCCATAAGACAAGAAAGAATAGAGCAACAACCAAAAATGAATTCAACAGAATTGACAATCATTCAACAGCAGATAACAGGCCAAGAAGGCAACAATACATGTTTTTTTCCCAGCAAGTGCATCATCGAATAATTAAAAGGATAATAAAAGAGAAATCATTGCATGGATGGGGGGGTACATATCCAGAATGAAGGTATTAGTCTTTCAACCACCCTCAAGGAAAGAAAAAAAAATCAGTCAAATGAGCCAAGCTTTCAGGCTGTTAATGTTTATTAAATTAATTAAGCGACCTTAAAATTATGGTGGTTTACCTTATTTATGTTAGTCAATTGATAAAAGTGAGCTTTTAATGAGTCCGATTGAAGCCCAGACCATCAAGCTCATGCACAGCAAAAAATTGAACAGATAATGGCCCCATATATTTAATTTAATTCTGAAGGTTATAACTTTATAATAAAGTGTTTTCCCAAGAGTGGCAAATGTTTTCAGTGCACATAAGATACCTTTTTCAGCAATTCTTGTTTATTTTTAGAAATTTTAGTCCTGCAGTTTCCAAATACAAGAAAATCAAACACACAACTTGAATAATTGCGCAAAGTAACTAAAATACTACAGCCATTATATGCTTAGTAATTTGTTGTACATGGTAGCCTAGCACAAGAACAGCATAGGAACCAAATGAAAAAGCATGCCCTACTTACATCATTTCAGTGTCATATATAATGAAAAACGAGATCAAAAATACATCACTGTAAAAAGCACTGTCATGTTATACATGCATAGGATGCACTCAGAGCTAGCAAGGATATACCTCTTGGCGGTCATAATCAAATTTGCGATGCCTTGTCCAATAAGACCACAAACAAATCCAACTGATCCATACAAAAATCCCTGTATCCAAATAAGTAATGGCTATCACTGTGCAGTAAAAATATGTAAAGTCCAGGGCCGCAGGTTATGCTGATACAATTTAGATAATAATGCAAAAAATAGTCTTAGATTTGACCATAATAACATGTTGTCTAAAAGCTAGAGGGAAGTTTTTTTGGTTTTCCATTTTTACCCTAACCGATTACCTCCTTTTTACATTTTCTAACTTAATGATAATAACATATTGTCTAAAAGCAAGAGAGATATTTTTTGGTTTTCCATTTTTTTAGCCTAACCGATCACCTCCGTTTTACATTTTCTAACTTAATGATATGGTTTTGGGTTTAGGGTACTTTGGGAAAATAGTGGCCCAAATTTAAGCTTCCACTGTTTAACACACTCCTCATTCTCACCATTTGACCTCCGTTTTCAGCCATTTGAGGACCCAAAAAAGAGGGACTGATGGGACTGTGGACATGGCACTGAGTAAGAGAAGTGAAAGAGGTGAGGGAGGGTGTGTGTTGATGGGACTAGAAGCATGTCAGTGGGTGAGGGAGGTGTTCACCATTTTGAGGACAATAAAAAGAGGGACGATGGTAGGATTGGGTGAGGGAGGGTAAGTGTGATCGAGGAAGATGGTGATTGAATACCAAATCTCTCAGCAAAAGACAAAAGTCATCTTTCAAAGATCACCAGCAGCAAAGAGAAGAAGAGCCGGCTGGAGTGGAACAATTTCAAAAGTAAATATCATTCAAGAGACTTACAGCAACTTAAGCTAATAACTATTGAAAATTATTGTGTGTGGGTTACTTGCTTCTATTTGGATGGTTTCTTTTCTACGAAATTCTATGACCTCTCTCTTTATCATATGGATGGTTGCTCTTCTACGAGATTCTATGACCTCTCTCTCTCTTTATCATATGGACGGTTGCTATTCTACAGAATTGTATGACCTCTTTCTTTATCATTGGACATTTGAGATTTCACAGTTGCAATCTTATTTCTAGCATTGAACTACTGATGCTTGAAGGTAGTATGCGAGTTTTGCTTGTATGGAGCTAGAGTTAAGTTGATTGGTGATTACCAATTTTGCAATGTTGTAAGGTACTCATAAAGTCTTGTGATTGCTTTCATGCACCAAGGGGTAAAATGTTCCTCTTCCTCAAGGTTGTGTAATGTTAATACTATGATTACTAATGTATCCTATTCTGACCAATTTCTATATGCTAAACAGAGCATTCTTGTTGAGTCTTATTTCAGCGTTGAAATCAACCTGTCTTTCAACAGTTATAATTATTGAGGAGAAATCATCAATTTGTTTGTATAGAGCATGAATTGTCCACTTTCCCCTGTGTCACACAGGGATTATATGCTAGTTTGGTATAATACCAGTACCGATAAGCAATGGACCAAGGTTTATAAACTAAAACTTGTGCCAATAAGTGGTCTTACCTTATAAACATATGTTTCAATCCTCTGCCTGACTGAAAATTTACATCCTGGCCTTTCAGCTTCAAAAACACTACAAAGAGAAGCAGAATTAAACAGAAGTGAAGTTTCTAGCTTATAGTGAAGTATAAGGACCACAATTACAGATTCTCAGTGTCAAACTGTCAACTATGTGAAAAATCAGATTCTCAGACCACAATACTCTACTTATATAAGCAAATAAGATATTGT